TCTGTAAGTAATTTTTTTGAAATATTATGATCAAATTTCTTTTTTTACTAAGTACGCATGCTTTTCTAATTAACTTAGGTAATTATAATTTCTATTTGTTAAAAAAAATTACCTGAAACATTTTAAAATTACAATCTATAAAAATTTTATAAATACATATCTTTGTCAAAACTACATGCTTTCCTTACCATGTGATCTATAATTTTGTACTCTGTATTCTCAAAAATTTTACAATTTTATTGGTTAAAACTCTGTACTCTGTTATATGTACAGATAACCTGAATATGTATAATCAACCTAATAGAATTGTGATGTCAACAATAAAGATGAGATCATTACAAGTGACCATAATCACCTCTGTCTCTGAAAGATGAATTTTGTCTCTTCTTTTGATGTCATTCATTTCTGAAAGAAGAGACAAGAGATAAATGACCAGAATATAGCCTCTGTATTACTCAACATCTATCATAGAGTAAATCAAAACACCTTGTAGGATTTTACAAATCAAAACAATAAAAGCAGATCTTTGATTTAAAAGATGCATATAGTAGTTGGACCTAGTTGAATGGAAAGTGCTTACTAATACCCAGGCAGAGAGAGACCTGTCAGTGTGGAATATGCCCATCCAAAACTGAAATACAGTACTCACAATGTCGTGGCAGACTCATCACAGAGTGGCTCAGTGATTTTTTCTAGTTATCACCACTAGCAATTGTGGATCCTTAAGGTTTGGACATTTGTGAATTTTTGTTGATTGGGAATTAGCTGGAACTATTATCAAAGGCTGACTCTTAACAGAATAAATCTGATAACATTTTTACTTTCTTATTATTTGAACATAATTCAGCACTCAATATAATCACACATTATTTCAATGTATGGTACAAGTGACAACACTGAATAGAATGTGCAAGTTTTTCAATTTACAATAAGCCTTATCTTTCTCTAATAGAAAGTGCATTTAATATTAGAGGGTGCTGTCTATAACTTTTTCATCTTGCAGCTGCATTGTTTATTACAGGATATTATTAGAGGACGTGCTTATTAGAAAAAAATACATTATGTTATTATATTATTAAAATGCATTCATTTTAAATAACTAAATTATTTTTCATCAGAAAGTAGTTGTAGATATGGAAAAATTTTAGTTTTTATATTAATACTAGCTTACCCGTTGCGCATTGCTGCGATCTCAGAAGAAACGAAATTCAAGCAAACTCGTTATGATAAAATTAAATTTACATTTTATCATTTTTATTGAAACTTATTATTATTATTCATTTTTATTGGGAAAACATTTCAAAGTGTCGTTTCAATTCTATTTATTTATTGGAGTGCTTGTGGATACACGATATTTTTTGTTTTTCCGTCTAGTGCGTACATGAATAAATCAGAAGGTTTTCCGACGCATGAGCTGGCCACATACAGTTGTACTGTACATGTGAGAAGCACGGATTCTTTAAATTTAGCCCACATACTCACAGAGATTGTTAGAAGTGCGATATTCCNATTACATATAAATAAACGTAGTAAGAAAGAATATATTTTTTTTATTTTTGGGGGTTATCCAGGACGAATTAATTAAATTCCCATTAAAACCTATGGTAAATCGATAATCGGTTAACGAACAATTCGGATAGCAAACAAAGTCTTGGAACAGATTATGTTCGTTAACTGATCACCCACTGTATATACAATTACTTTTTATTAACCCAATAAATAGGACTTCCTTTTAACATGAGTAAATATCCCATGTTTGATTTTTGGAAGTATGATCACCTCTTCAGTTGATGTCAACATAACATTTAAGTTCTAATTCTTTGTCTACATTTCCTACTTTAAGTCTTTTTTTCATTGAATTCAGATAATGAAAATTTTGTTTTACTTCCTCTCAATTGCTTTTTGAATTGAGTGGAAATAAAATTCAATTGATTGTGGTATTTTATTTTCTGGTGAACTACTGTTCATCAATTTCATTGAATTAGAGTTCCATTTGTGTAGTGTCATTTCACATGTGCTCAACATATCGCACAACTGAGATTGTAGTTCAAGGGCAGTATTGAAATCTTGCTGACCTGACACGATGTCATCCATGTAGACATCTCATAATATAGTTTTAGAGGCCAGAACTCTTAAGCAGTTGGCTCATGATGAAGCAACAAGATATTTATTGCTTCATCTTGAGCCAACTGCTTAAGAGTTCTCACTGCTAGAAAGGGAGCACTGGCAGTCCTATAAGTCACAGTTTTCAGTCTGTAGGTGACTGGCATTTCTTCTTCCTCATTCTTCCAAATAATTCTTAAGAGATCTCATTGTGAGTGCTCAATTAGAATTTGACAAAACATTTTCTGGATATCTGCTGTAAATGCGTATTTGTATTTTTGAAATCTTGTCATAATCTTGAAAACATCTTCCTTTACTTCATCTTTCAAGAGATGATCATTTAGGCTCATTCCAGAAGTTGTGGGAGCAGATGCATTGAAGACTACCCTTAACTTTGTAGTGGTTTTGTCTGATCTAAACACACCATGATGCGAAAGGTAATAACATATAGGGTTTGCTGCCTGATCAACAGGAGGCTCTTGCACCTTTTCCATATGGTCCAAATCCAAATATTCCTTCATGAATTTCTGATATAACTCCTTTAATTGATAGTCCTTTGATAGTCTCTTCCACAATTGATTCAATCTCCTCAATGCTAACTTCTTTGACTCTCCCTAGTTTTGTATCTCCTTGGTTGCCATCTGCACAATATATCTTCTGTCCTCATTACGTCTGTGAGTTCTTTGAGAATGCTCTTCACAACACTCTTCTTTACTCATCAAACTTGAAGCCTCTGTAAGAGTCTCTATTTGCCAGAACCTTTGTAAACATTTATTGACTGACTCTAACTCTGATATTAGTCTACAATATTATTAGATTCTGCAGATCCAGTTGTGATGTATCCAAAAACTGTGTTGAAAAATGTTAGGTTATTATTGCATTATGGACAAATTTGATCGTTCTTAACTATTTCAAAGAATGCTTCAGCTTCAATAAGCATGTCAATTTTGTCTGGTGTAGCAAATCTTGGATCAGCTAACTAATGTGGGATTTCTGTTTTGCTGATGTGTAGAGAGAAAACAGGGAGCAAATCCGTGATCCTTGGCACCACTAAGAACTCTAGCTTTTAGAAATAGATCCATTGCTGTTTATTATTGTAGCAGACAGCTTAAACTTGACTGAGGTTTTATTTCCACTTATACTGGAGACTGTGAGATTGATTCTTTCTTGTGGGGACTTGCAAAATTTCTAGTAACGATATTTGACATACTGCCTGAGTCCAATACTGCGCGTGCTTGAATGCTGGATCTGATGGTATGATTTAAAACGCAAGTCATGGCTGTCAAGAGAATTACTGTCTTATTTCCATTGTCAATGCATGACAGTGAGTGAGGTATACCTTCACGAAACTCTATTGTGTTGGGATTAAGATCCTGCTTGATTGGAGTCAGTTTGCTGTCAACCACTGGCACATTTGAACCAGTTATAGCTTGTTTCTTTCGGTGCAGTAATGTGTTATGTTGCTTTTGGCATATCTTACAGCAGCTCTTGGAGTTGCAATTGGATAACTTATACTGATCACTTAAGCAATTGAAACAGAGAGAGAGGTTGTTTTTGGCCACAACATCATTTCTTTAGGAGTCTTCCAACTTTAGAAAGGAATCACAGTTGTAAACAGGATGATTCTGCTTGCATATTCTTTTTGATGCTATCAATTAAACTCCTCAAACCCATTGCTGACTCATAAGCTAGTTTAACAGAGTCTAGAATTGCATTAACATGGGTTTCTACTATTATTGATAATTTCTTGTTTTCATACCTTTCTTGTAGTGTTTGAAACAATGAAGCAAACAAATCGTTTAATGTGTCTAAACTCTTAGCTTTCCCTATGAGAGCAACCTTGAAATAATATAGTTTCTGTTCTGCCAATAGTTGCTTGCTTGATGAAGTGATATTACCAAATTGCATTTTAAATTTACTCCATTCTTCGTATCTTCCAGAGAATTTCAGTAGAGGAATCGCCAACAGTTTAATATTAGTGGAGTTATTTTGAGCTACGAGGCCCTGAGTCACCATGACTACGGACAAATCTGCTTCTATTCATTTAATATGAGACTGGATCTTAAATTTATAACTTATAATTTTGTCTTCATATTCTTCACTATTGACTATTTCAGTGTCATAATCAGTTGGGCTAGTAATGAAACACTCAATTTTCCCATTTAAGGTTTTCAATGACTCTTCTTTTTGACTAAACTGATCTAGTATTTCTAGAAGAGCTTCTGTCTCTCTATCGTCGCTTTCAATTAGATTATCAACTTTACTAATTAATTTCGTCACAGTAGCTCTTATCGAAGTGCGTTTTTTTTCTTTAATTTCTCGAGTTGATCCATTTTAAACTGCCTGTCATGTATAATGGACAGATAAATTCCTCCTATCTTGGATAGGTGACTTAATGAAGTTTAATCCAATCTTACTTGCTTACGAAGTTGTCTCTCATTTCTTCTTGATCTGCCTTGATGGACCAGATGTTTGTTGATCTTTAATGGACTGTAAAAATATGAAAGTACTGCGGTTTTGCAAAAAATAAAACGTTTAATGCAGAATGAAACACTGGTACAAAATAGCCATTACAAAGCTTCTCTTGTCTCCAAATTTTAAATTATTATTATTATTTTTTTACTGCAAAAATACAGTGGCACTTGAGATGCCAACATGTATTTTTTATAATTTATTTTTAACAGTTAGTTATTACAAAAGTTAAAGTTTACTACATAATAATTCATAATACTTCAATATTTTAAGTAAAATTAAAAACAGCAATAAAACAATATCAGTATCATTTTTAAACTTAGAATGTAAACTTAAGAATATTTCAGTAAAATTTAATTGTATAGAATGTTTTTTAAATTAAACAATTTACATGATTTCTTTAATACATGTTATTTATTTTATAGACACAGGATATATTTTTAAAGCAGTTATCTAAACATATTATTGGAAAATCATATGAAAATATTGAAGAACATGAAAAGTGGTATAAAGAATATCTTGAAAAGAAACAGAAAAAACAGACGGCAATTTTAAACTGGAAAATTGAGAAAGAAAAAGTATGTTGTTTTTTTTTTATGGAAAGGTATTACATTGTAATATATTTTACAGTTTTTACTTGTAGAAATTTAAGATGATCAAAAAATCACTGTATATGTTTTTATTTCATATTATCAATTGAAAGAAATTATAAAAAAATTAAAAGAAAATTACAATGTAACAGTTTTTGCACAATAAATGTTTGTAATAAGGGAAAGACTTTATTTACATTTTAATAGTATAAAACATTCACAGTTAAAAATTGTAATATGATGTAATCACTAAATAAAAAAAATTCTTCAATCACAGAAATTGGATAAAATGTCAAATCATAAATAAAAACACATTTAGACTTTTAGGATAAATTTAACCTTTACTGCTTATATTTTTGATCTAATTTATAGATCTTCATCAGGAACAAATAGAACAAAATATTAAATTTTTTACTTCAGGGAAACTGGTAGATTTATAGAACTACCTTATTGTGTCCAGCTCTTGACTATTCTGAGCTGAAAGTGTTAGAGCTATTGGAAATATTTAAAGAAACATCCAGAAGACATACATGTATTGATGCTAAAGATGCTGAAAGAATATTTAAAGCATGAAAAGTATTGTATGAAATTCTGTGACCTGTCAATGCTGAGTTTTGCTGTACAGCCATATACATCTATCCACTGTTGATTTTCTGTTTATGCTTCCATGAATTTTTGTACATTTAGCTGTGTTATGTCTATAAGTGCAGGTGTATCTGCTATATTCAGGGGCAAATCCTGACCAAAATTTTTGGGCAATCTGAAAGTTATAATAGGAATAATGGGCCTATCTCTAGCATTAAACCAGGGGTCACCAAACTATGACCTGCAGGCCAGTTCATCTGGCCTGCTGCTGCACTGTGCCAAAATGGGCTAAAATATAATTATTTATATGGAAATATCATAGATTGTAGATGAACTTATTATGTAGAAAAAAATTAAAATAAATGTAAGTAAAAAAATTAATTAAAATACATTTTAAAAGTTTGTGTCAAGGTTTGAGTATTAGTTAAGTGCAGTTAGAGAAGAATTAAAATAAATGTAAGTGAAAATGCCAGAAATGGTCCAATTTGATTTTTGCATCTGACAGTAATATAATTTTTAGGAAAATCAGTGAAATAAAAAATTCAGCAACTTTGGATATCAGAGCACTTTTTGTGTAAGCACTGTACCTGCAATGAAGTTTCTATGAAAAGCAATTACGAGCTTGCTGCAGCGATCATGTTTGTGTGTTGGTAAATAAATACATTGGTTTTCTTTATTTTTTGTGTATTCAGTATACTGTATTGAACAAAAGGATTATGCAGCCCATGTTTGTCGTTTTCTCAGTTATCTGGTTTGCTGTAAAAAAGTTTGGTGACCCCTGCATTAAATAATATGCAGAAACGTTATTTGGTCTGAAAAAAAAAACATATAGTGACAACATACATAACTCTCAACAATTCACAACTTATATTTGAAACCACATAATACATGTATGCTGACTGAGTACCACAAGCTTTCAATACAATCTGGCCTTGTTAAATGCTTTGAATGACGTCATGCACACACACTTATTTGCTGCAAGTGTGCGTGCATCGAGTTCCTGCAAGCATCACACTGACTTAAAACGGTTAGCCACTAGGTGTCAATGTAAATGCTAACATGAATGATAAAAGAGTTTATATGTTAGAATAAATTATTATTGGCATATTTTTTCTCATATGAAAAGTATATTGACAGTCAAAACTTTCTCTTAATTAAGCATGTGACACATGCTAAGGAAGACCAGAGAATTCACCCCTAGCTGTATTTAATATTATAATTCAATTTTATCTTTATTTGTTTATGTTTTAATAGTTATTGATATTTTAGTGAGTTTTAGTTTTAAAGTTTACACTTTCAGTCTTCCAATCTGTTGCCCATTGAGCATTTTTGGGATCAGATGGGATGCCAGTTTTGCCATATATCAATATTGATCTGATGGAAATGTGGTACAGTAGAATCTCATTTGAATGGATTGCAGAACAACAGATTTCTCAGAATAATGGATTTTTTTTCTAGTCTTATCTATTATAAATTTTGCATTTTTTTCAACATATAGTTAATATTAAGGTGTTTCTGGGAATTTATAGAATTTTATGATGCACTTGTTACATCTAGGATATGTACAATTGAAGTATTGTATGAACAGAGTCAGCAGGCTGATACAATATCAAACATTCTGACGCTGGTTCAAGTGTTGTGTCAATATTTAGTGAGGCCATCAAATCTTTTCAAGTTGTGAAGATTTTCCTTATGGGTTGTACATGATATTGCTAATATCAAACTTGTTTTATTCAATAGACAGAAAAATGAATCAAAACAAACCAAGATGGATGAGGTTTTTAACAAATTGTGTAGGTGAGTGTAGGGTTAATGAGCATACATAATTTACCTCTTTTTGTGTGTACAGTTTATACTGTTTCTCCCAGCTTTGTTGTACATACTTATGGCATAATATAAATCCTGTAACATACATATTTCTATAGAATAAGGAGGTTAAGAGATCCCAAGAGACTGAATAATTTCAAGTACAGGTGTTTCTTATAAGTACAGGTTAAATAATGGATATTTTCCTGTCTGTTTGGGAAATCACTGTTTGCAATGTAATGGATTTTTGGAATAACAGTTGATTTTTGGCAGCCTGAGCAATTCATTTAAACTAGATTCTACTGTAGTTATAACATTTGTGGGAAAATATGTTGCAGGATAGTATTCAATGCCTGTATTCCTCCATGCTCAACTGTATCACTGCATGAATCCAGGAAAAAGAAGGTCCTATAAGGTATTAAGAGTTCCTTTCAGTTGCATAGGAAATTGTTGCTTAGCTATCCCTTAGTAACCTTAGAAACTTAGATACTGTAATTAATTATTACCATTGCCATTACATTTGCAGTAATAAAATTTTATTTGATTCCAGTGCCTCCTTGATGTGTAACTGTTTTGTTAATGAATGTGTAATGTGTTATAATATCAACCTAAAATCTCCAATCAATTTCCTAAAACATAACTAAAATGCATTTCTGTATGTATCAAACTGTCATGTTAAGATATAAAACAACTAAAATATTGCTATCAGAATATCAGACAATTACTGTGGTTGTTATCAAATAGTTACTTTCTACACACATGTATTGGTACAGTCTGCTTACTGTATTATAAAGACTACATATGTTGATACTCAGCATGGTTTTGAAAACCTTTGTATGTGATCTTGATATTTTACTAATGTAGCTGCAGATGTTTCTTGCATAAAGTTCAAAAGAAGATTTTAGTATGGATATTATTGGTTTAATCAGTTTAGGAGGTTCCTAATGTTCTGTTGAAAGATTGTAATGATTTTTTGGAACATAAATATAAGCTTTTCTTAAAAAACATTGTATTCAGAGATACATACATTTTATGAAGTTTGTGTGTTAAAAATCAAAAGATATTCTATCTGGAAAATTGGGAGACATTTTGCAGAGTATGCCTGTATATTAATATTGACAATTTACAAAAGTAAATATTTAAATAGTTTTAAATTGCAAAATTGTAATTTACCAAAACAACCATTTGAATTTTGAGAGATTTTAAAATGTTTATCAATAATAAAATGCATAATAGAACTTTTTAATTTTATTTAGTAAAACAATAAGCCACAGTGATATTTGTTCTCAATCACTTTTTGGACTTGATGTAGAATGTAATTTTCTTTCTCAGCTCGCGTCCTGTTTTTTTTTTTTTTTCTTTTTTTTAAGATGCTTGTAAAAAGCCAACCTGGCCACAGTGTCTTTTTGAGAAATAAATAAATAAAATAAATTGCATTCTTGACTATTCTCAACAATCTTGAGAACATCAAAAAATTCACAAATACAAACTACAGTGGAACGTTGGTATATAACCTTAATCTGTTCCTGGTGTTTGGACTTATACCGAATAGGATGTATATCAAACCAACCTTTCCCATAAGAAGTAATGTAAAAATGATTAATCCATTCTCATGTAAAAAAAATGGCTGGCTTTAAACACCTCGCTTTCCTGGCTAGTTCCTGCTTGATTTTTCATGAGATCAACATGTATCTTTTTAGCTTTCTCACAAATAATTGTTTCTGATACACTCTCTAGCACACTGTTTTTCAGTTATCCAAAGCAAAAGCAATTTCTCAACATGATCTAATGTCTTCAATCTCTGTTTAGAAATTGATTTAACCCCTTTTGCAACATTAGCAAATTTAATAATGTCTTAATTTTTCATGATTGTCAATATCGTCATTCTCAGAATACGGTATGCAACAGTTAAATCTCGAACACGCATGCCACCTTCATATTTTTCAACGATCTCTTTTTTCAGTTCCATTGTGATTTTAATCATTTTTTTATTTTTCTGTTGCCTTTTTGCAATTCATGATTAATAAAAATAATAACATTTTACTTACAAATTAAAATAAAAAGAAATTTAACAAAGTTATAAACTGTGGCACCGTGAACATCTAGTCTGGTCTAATACACCGATAGTACTACTTGTTCATAGATGGCACGTATAATTGAATTAAGTCATATATCGAACAAAAGTTGTATACCGAGCAAAATTTGTTTTGTCCAAACAGGACGTATTCCGAATTGGATGTATTCTAAAGCAGATGTATACCGAGGTACCACTATACTTACATAGACATAACCAAATAACAAACATAATACATGAAAAGCTTTCACATTAACAGAAATTAAAATAGATAGAGAATTTATAAGCACTTTACCATAAATTTGCAGTTTTCTATGATTTCAGAATTAAGGATTACACACACTAAAAGATTTATTGACTTTAATAGACATCTGTTATTGTTTATCAATAGTAGCTCTAATATAAGTAATATAAGGATTTAGGCATAATGGTAGCTCTTTTGCATTACATCAACACATTTTAAAAAATAATAACTAGTTGAATTTGTTAATGTACAGTACAGTACTACAAAGTCAACAGATTAATTAACCTTATGAGTTTCTACTATCACTTTATTTTACTGAAATAATCAATGTTTATTATAATTTATTTTTTTATAAATGTTTAATGTTTTTAAAATATATTATCTATGAGTTAAAAATTAATTGACTTAAAATGTTAGACTTGTGAATAATATGAATATTATATATTAAATTAAATTAATCATTCACCTTATTTTTGTTTAAAGGAACAAACAAAAAAGTTTATATATGAAAAAGAAAAAAAATTAGTAGGGATGAAAAATAATTTAAATGATGAAATGATAAGAACCAAGAAGTTAAAAGCTATTGCACTTTGGAAGGTAATATTTATTTTTAATATTTCATTTTATACTCACAACAGAACTGAAAGCAAAATACACATTTGAAGCAATAAACACAAATTGTCCAAATACTCGCATTCATTTGGAGTTATATATTGGACACACATGGACCAATAGATCAACTTAGAAAGAAAACATAAACAACATTACTTAAAATTAATGAACACTATCCTAAATCTTTCATAGAAATGTGGATTCTTCCACATAAAGAGAGAGGATGAGGCACTTCAGATGTAGTAAATCTTCACAACACTAAATGTGACAGTTTTTCTATAAAAACAAAAAGCATCACAATTACACAAAGCTGTAACTCTTTCAGATAAAAGCACTATTTCATTAAATCTGTACTAAACTTATATACATATAACATAATACATAAAAGACACAGACACCATCAATCAGTCTTGGATCCAGAAGGAAGATGGTAAGCATTCTAATGATCTCAGCCAAGAGTATTTGGCAGGGATCATCAGAGTGCTATGTAGCTCAGGGTTGCTTCTTTGGGAGACAGAAAGGCTTATGATTACTAAGACCAGATATGTGCATGTTAAAATACTGGAAATATGCATTACGCATGTTAAAAGCACTTGTAATATGCAACTAAATTTGTAGATTTAAATTCATACATACAGTACTTCTGTCTGTGAGCAAATTTTAATAATGTTTACTATGTCTCACTTTTTAGGTGGGATGGGATAAATGTATGATAATAGATGACATGGATTTGAAAATTGTCACAAAGCATTAGAAAGCATTAGAATAATGTTCTGTGTACAAGGTACACAATCAAGTCAATTACAAATAAAATTACTTGCTCAATAAAATTTTGTAACTTTCTCTGTGCTATCTGATCAATCATTATTGAATTTATTTATTTATATATATATATATACAATTGCTTACAAGACATTTGAAGATGTGGACTAATCTGGTCTGGATTTTTTTATTATATGTAGTTAAGAAAGGAAGAACAACAAAAAAATAATGAAAAGAATCAAAAACAGTTAGCACTTCAAGAAAATAAACTAAAAGAAAAAAAGAAAAAGGAACAAGTAAGTTTTGAAATATTTTATTTTTTTAATTCATCAAAACAAATTAGATTTAATTTAATCAATGAAGTATTACCATAAAAAATGAATAGAATTTTTATAGAAGTCAGATAAATTCTATAATTACTTCCAAATAACATTTTATTTAAAAAAAGTTATTTAGAATATTCAGGAAAAACATTCAGTAATGTATTTTTGAAAATATTTATGTTAGACATAGAAATTTGAAATATAGGGTATTTATTTTAAAAATTCCAAAAGAATGTTTTAACATTACTTTTTCATATGTTTATTGAAAATTAATAAATACTGTGCTCTGTTTATAACCTTTTTCATATTGAAGCTGCACTATTAGAATGCACTTACTTTCAGAGGGTGATTACTACACCAGTGCTCAAAATTAAGGACTGATGACATTTGTATATAAATAGAGAGAACTGTAAATGAATGCAGACAAATATGCCAAAAACTGGGGCTGTATTCTGATGGTCTTCTGGTCATCATCTCTCGTCTTTGAGAGACAATGTCTATGTCACAAGCTGGTTGCTGATTGGCTGAACATTTGTTTTATGTCTCAAGAGATCATCTCTTCTGAAATTGATTCTGGATGACTTTTTTCTCTCAAAGATTCTCTCATCTTCCAACTGGTCTTTCCATCTGTAACTTTGATTTTGTTATATCCAATATGGATGATTGGATGATACTCATGATATACAATGATATTACTGAATGTTCTCTATTTTGGAAAAGAGTATTTTGAGATAGAGATAATGCTTTTGATCTTTTAGCTTAAAGCAGCCACTTTACATTTTACATGGGAATGCCACTGACTCCATCTTTTTTAATAATTCTAAGTCAATTATTGAACCATTGAATATGCTGTTAATCTTATCCATTACTTCCAGACAATTATCTCTGTAAGTAATTTTTTTGAAATATTATGATCAAATTTCTTTTTTTACTAAGTACGCATGCTTTTCTAATTAACTTAGGTAATTATAATTTCTATTTGTTAAAAAAAATTACCTGAAACATTTTAAAATTACAATCTATAAAAATTTTATAAATACATATCTTTGTCAAAACTACATGCTTTCCTTACCATGTGATCTATAATTTTGTACTCTGTATTCTCAAAAATTTTACAATTTTATTGGTTAAAACTCTGTACTCTGTTATATGTACAGATAACCTGAATATGTATAATCAACCTAATAGAATTGTGATGTCAACAATAAAGATGAGATCATTACAAGTGACCATAATCACCTCTGTCTCTGAAAGATGAATTTTGTCTCTTCTTTTGATGTCATTCATTTCTGAAAGAAGAGACAAGAGATAAATGACCAGAATATAGCCTCTGTATTACTCAACATCTATCATAGAGTAAATCAAAACACCTTGTAGGATTTTACAAATCAAAACAATAAAAGCAGATCTTTGATTTAAAAGATGCATATAGTAGTTGGACCTAGTTGAATGGAAAGTGCTTACTAATACCCAGGCAGAGAGAGACCTGTCAGTGTGGAATATGCCCATCCAAAACTGAAATACAGTACTCACAATGTCGTGGCAGACTCATCACAGAGTGGCTCAGTGATTTTTTCTAGTTATCACCACTAGCAATTGTGGATCCTTAAGGTTTGGACATTTGTGAATTTTTGTTGATTGGGAATTAGCTGGAACTATTATCAAAGGCTGACTCTTAACAGAATAAATCTGATAACATTTTTACTTTCTTATTATTTGAACATAATTCAGCACTCAATATAATCACACATTATTTCAATGTATGGTACAAGTGACAACACTGAATAGAATGTGCAAGTTTTTCAATTTACAATAAGCCTTATCTTTCTCTAATAGAAAGTGCATTTAATATTAGAGGGTGCTGTCTATAACTTTTTCATCTTGCAGCTGCATTGTTTATTACAGGATATTATTAGAGGACGTGCTTATTAGAAAAAAATACATTATGTTATTATATTATTAAAATGCATTCATTTTAAATAACTAAATTATTTTTCATCAGAAAGTAGTTGTAGATATGGAAAAATTTTAGTTTTTATATTAATACTAGCTTACCCGTTGCGCATTGCTGCGATCTCAGAAGAAACGAAATTCAAGCAAACTCGTTATGATAAAATTAAATTTACATTTTATCATTTTTATTGAAACTTATTATTATTATTCATTTTTATTGGGAAAACATTTCAAAGTGTCGTTTCAATTCTATTTATTTATTGGAGTGCTTGTGGATACACGATATTTTTTGTTTTTCCGTCTAGTGCGTACATGAATAAATCAGAAGGTTTTCCGACGCATGAGCTGGCCACATACAGTTGTACTGTACATGTGAGAAGCACGGATTCTTTAAATTTAGCCCACATACTCACAGAGATTGTTAGAAGTGCGATATTCCTCATTTTTATATATATTTTTAAATCCTTTATAATTTTAATTATTTAATTGCTCCTTCCTCTCTTCCTTGGCATGTTGTGAAATTTCTGATAGTTGGATAATAAACCGTTTTATTGTAATTTGTCTTTTTAAATTATTTTGAGTCGATATTAAAATTTGGAAAAGGGGAATTCCTAGATTGGTAAAATAGGAAAAATTTCCTCCTACGACTTCGGTTGTTGTTCGGGGTACAGTTAAGGTTTTAACGAAGTTTGAACGAATACATAATTAGCAAAAAAAAAGTTGAAATAAAGTGATTAAACAAAAATTATTACAAATATCGTAAATAACAGTTCACAAATGCATATATAGAGATATTTTTTGGAGGGGGGAAATGGTCTTCACAATTTGAAATCGATCTAACACACAGTGCTCGAATGCTCGTGTAAACGTGCGCCATCTATCGTAGGATAAATGTACTTCGTGGGAGTGTATTAAAAAACTTTCCAAAAGTTTCATGACAATCGTACTATGCCACAAACCTTCGCCGGAGTATATTAAACAACTTCCCAAAGTTTCACGGCAATCGGATAAACGGTGTAGTAATGCATGAAGGACAGACAGACACACAGACATACATTCATTTTTATATATATAGATATGTTTATTGACAAAAAGTTGCACACTAAGAAGGAGTTGTTGGAATTGAGTGAAACTTTATTAGTCTGAATGTAATAACAATGATGATAAGTGATTATTATATCATAGCAAAGAGACAATTTCCTATGGAATGATGCTACAGTTTAAAGGAAACTTTAGTACCTTGCAGGACCTCCTCTTACCTGGATACATGTGGCAATATGGTAATGTATGTAAACATAGCTACCCTGTGCAGATTTATATGCTACCCTGTGCAGATTTTCACACAGATGTTGCAACTACCAGTTCAGATTCCTCATACTCTTAGATGCCAAAGCTGGCATTTTATCTGGTCCCACAAATGCTTGATGACTAACAAATCTGGAGACCATGTAATACAAGGAAGTGTAGCAACATAAAGGAGACATTCCTAGAAACCCTAGCTATGTGTGGCTGAGCATTATTTTGTTGAAAAATGATTGTTTGCAGTCTTGCCATGAAAGGCAACACATGAGAGTGCAGTATGCCTGAATGTACTGCTATACTATCAAAGTCAACATCCCTTCTGCTACTAGAGATGACTGATTGTCATATGAGATGGCTTCCCAGACCAGATCACCAGCAATAGGGCAGTGTATTACTCAACAGTAAAGGTAGAATTGAAGTGCTCACCAGCAATCTTCTACATGCTAACATGGTGGTCATCTTTTCCCAAACAGAACTGGGATTTGTTGCTAAAGATGAGACACTGCTGATCCATAGCAGTCCATGTTTTCTGTCACAAATCAATGCAAATGAAGTTGATGATATTGGATTTATTTGCAGGACTTGTAGCAGTTATATGCCAATGGTACAGGAAGAGATAGTGTTCTGTAGCAAGGCTTGCACATGTGTCTGAATGGTGGACAAAGATTCTATTGTGGTTGTTTGTGCTTGTTTCTTGATCAGACTATTGTCTTCTGGTGGTTTTTCTGGGTTGTCCAGAGCTTGCCTTCCTTGTATGTGTTGTTAGAATACAACAATTGAAATTATTAAAAAAATATAATGTATATATGTATAGATTGCATTATGTCATAACAATTTTGTAGCATGTTTTTCTATTACATAATAAAAGATTAGTGGTGCTTATGTCTGGTGGAAATCCAGTGATCTTTTTACTCTCTCCTTTTCTAGCACTGACTTTCTATTAGACAAGTTGTACAGTAGAGTCTCGAAAACTCAGCATTCCAGATAACTCGGCCACACCCTGGCAGGGCAAAAAAATCCTTAGTTAATTAATTTTCATTATAGACAGCTTTATGCCTCATAAAGTATTTTTCTGAGGTCTGTCTTATCAGGTAAATTATTGTACACAGTGTATTCATTAATTTTCATTTTCATGTAGTAAAAGCTCTAGGCCTTCATAAAGAATGTACTTTTCCTTTGTTTAAGGGTATTTGGGCAGTTTATTCTCTGTTGTATTCTCAAGTAAACAATACATACAAGTACAGTACAGTATTTTCTGAGGAAACACTCATACTTATTTTTTTNATAGATGAAAGTGGAGACCAGATATGAAAAGCATAGCGGCAGGAGACCCCGATTAACTATATACAAACTTTCTTGTTCTTTAACCAGTTATATCATAATCTCCTACAAGCTTAATTAGCAATTATTTATTGTGGCATTGTCACAATGTCAGGCTGCAATTTTTAACTCCACCTCAAATTAGTAGTATCTTGTCCTTGTACTGTAAATCCTGTTAGCAATAGAGTAGTGCCAGTCATCTGTCTAACTCCTTTCAGAGGTAATTTTTGAATTGAAATAACTTGACCATGCAAACTAGAAGTTCGTACATAGTTAATTGGAGCCTTCATCTGGTCTTGACTTTCATCTAACACCATTCTCAAGATTAAAGGAAGGACAGACAGCAGGCAGACGGAATTTATAGGTCTAAATTTTTTCAAATTGCAGCCCAACAATCA